TAGATTTAATATTATTAATAAGCTTTTTAATTTATTTAATAAAATGTGATGTATCAGAAGTGACGATATTACCTATAGTCTGATATAACTTCTAAATCTGAATATTATTTCAACCAGTACAGCAAACCACCTTTGAGCATTTACTGAAATAGCCAAAGGTTATCAAACCAAAAAATTAGGACAAAGTATGTACAAATTTGTAAATACAAATCTTAATAAAGATTAATAACAAGACTGCTAAAGAATGAAAAAAAAAATTTAGTAAAAACAAATATTTTAAATAAAAAAATCTTTTTTATAACAAAAATTAAAAGATGTATAAAAACTTTTAAGCAAGTGCAAACTTTAAAAAAAAAGAATTATAAAATAAAAATATTTACTAATAAACAAATATGTATATAATCACAGTCAATTTTATGTTTAAGTAAATAAAAATCATAATTATAATGCTCTAACACAAGTAAAACATTTTAACCTATAATTTTTATTTACATTGAATTAATTATTCATCCAAAATAAAAAAAAATTACCAAGTGCAAAGTTCAATAATAAATTGATAGTAAATTATTAGAAAGCCTGTAAATATTGATTTTCGATAAGCTTTATTTATTAAAAATAAAATGCACAAAGGAATCTTCCTAAAAATTTTTTTGAATTGGGATATTTATTAAGTTTAAATTGCATGCTCGATTGTTGTAACTTTTACTATCAGAAAAAATTCATGAAAATAATGATCTAAATTCCAAAATTTATTATTAAAAAGAATTAGTAATAAAATAATTTACATTCTAAAGTTTTCGTTTTCTTTAAAATTTTTTAAAGAATTTTTTGAATATAGCGTTAAATGAAGATATCGATATGTGTCGGTATAATAATTTTTTTGTGGCGTGATATGATAAAATTTTGGACATCTGACAAAAAATTGACCCACTGAATATTGCCGTTAATCGAAACACTTTCGGTTATAGCCGATTAAGTCCGAGTCGGTTAATCGGTTGACGATTTTTTGCTCGGTTCAGATCACTAATCTACTTATTAGGGTTCTGCAAATGGCTACTATTAAAATGCTTGGCAAAATGTTTTAATAGTGCCGTGCCGGCACTTGCAGAACCATACTACTTATGTACGAAAGATATTCATGGGACCGGCTAAGACTCCACAGGGCGTAATTTTTATGCAGAACAGATAAAATAATTCGTATTTTGGGGAATAAGATATGTGACGTGACATCATCCAAGGTTGATGACCATTGGTTCTCTCAGTAATGCAAACTCCTAAAAAGGAAGCAACCACTCAGTGAGTCAAATATCAATGGAACTTGTTCCCCACTTGATACATACGTTGTCGTTATGCAAATCGATAAGAATTTGGATCTATCTTTCACTAAAAAAAGAAGGCATGTCACTATTTAAATTACCGGTAAAACTAATTGATTATCAGGATCTGACACAGGATCATGTGCAAAAGAAAGAAAAAAATGGTGGAAATACTTAAAAAATGGTTAACTTGACCCTAATAAACTATTAAAATGACAAGCATGAAGCTTCACATATAAAGAGTGATAGTTTACTCCTATATCACCTAAAGCGACTTCACACATGGATTATACTAAGTTCCTTTTTTGGGTTCGTATTACCGTTACTTGCGTAAATAAGTAAGTAAACCACTTAGCATTACGTAGGTCGATCTAGTCCATTCATAAATTTATCTGGTTATTTACACAAATTTAAAATTTTCGATGACCTATTTGACCGTATAAAATGGTTAGACTAGATCAATCATGGGAAATTGGTCTGATCTTATTAGGCAATCAACAACCCAACATAATTACGGGAGTGCCTAACCTTTTTTTTGGTACGAATGAAATTGGTTAATTATACGTACGTAGGTGTAATTTTAAACCCTAATGTTGTACTCATGAGAATTGAGAACTTCGTTATAGGAATAATAATATATGTACTTACGTACGTATGTACTTAAATTCTTTACATGTGAAAGGGAAAATTCCACCGAATATGATTATTTGTAAATAATACAAATACTGTACTCGTACCACATACACAGATATGTGATAATAAAAGCACACCATTATGTCGATTTGATACTCTTTTCAACAATGGCTAAATATATAATTGAAAAAGCGGCACCTTTACAAGAAGAAAATTCACAGAAATTTGATTATTTAATTTCCACAGTTAAAAGTTCACCAGAATCACAATCATCCAGTATCCCAATTCAACCACATGATTATCCAAAAGATGTCCTACTTTCTGTTGACAATGCAAACCTTAGACAATTTTCACCAAGAACACAATCCATGATTGATGAACTGGAAAAACATGCTGATGAGCTCTCTAACTCTAATGATCAAATCTCAGTAATTGATTCACCACGCGAAGTCTTGACTAACTCAGATGTCACATTAGAATCTAAGTCAAAACCGTTAAATATTAACATTCAAAAAGATAGTGAAGATGATATCTGGCAATATTTTAACTCAATAACTCAGAGTTTCTTAGTGAATGATAAATGTAAACTCTATATGCTATCATTATTATACATTATGCGTTCATATGTTAATACACATAACTTCAATAATATTCAACAGCAGAAAAAATAGATCTAAGCTTTGATAAATTTTCAATTAGCACTAAAAATGCTATTTTAGATCAAGGTATTAATGTATTTTTAAAAAATTAAAAAATTTTCAGTATATCTAATTTTATGAATTATATCAAAAATTGAAGTTAGGTCTGAGGATGGCCAGGTGTCAGGCTTAATAGACTTAGATACACCATGTATGTTTTACGTACTAAAAATAAAAGCCAATTAAATTATAATAACAAAACTAATAAATTTTATATAAAGTATCCTGTGACATTTTTCCGGGTAAATATGATTTAGTATTTAAAATTATTCTATTTATAGATTTTCATTATTTTACAAAAATACTAATATCCATTTTAATAGACAATATACTTGTTCATATCAAATTATTGAACTTTGATTTGTCACGAAAATTAGATCCCAACGTCAAAAAATCAGTTCGTCTTATGATCGGATCAATGACCTACCATACTAAACCAAGTACATCTCTTGATGATCAGTTGAAAAAGTCGTTTCTTTTTCCTTTTAATTATCATTCATTGGTTTTTGACACAATGAAATTGGTTATTTATGAATACGGCTCTTTCTTGAATAAAAAAAGAAAACACGGACGTGTTCTTGTTCGACTGAATGCTTTAAAGCAGACCATAATTAATCATGGGGAATTTGAAAAGTGATTGTCATTCTAAATTTCATTCGAATTATCCCTATTCATATTTAACTAATTACATTATTATCTTATCAGAGTTTTCCCTATTGAAGCTAATTTATACGAAATTGGTGCAGTACAAATTAACATAAAATTACATTTTCCTAACGATCCACCTTTTACTCCCACAATACAATCACCTTTGATTCATGACACTCGTGATTATAGCGATGACAACATTGAAACAAACTCTGATGCAATATCTCTTGGTATACTTGATGCGGTATTAAACAAAGAAACTAGAGATGCAATTAGGGAAATTACCACTCTTTATTATGCATTTTTTGGTCATGGGTGGAGGTTGACAAAATTGGAATTCTTAAAAGCATATATGCTATTAGAGAAATATTATAGTCAAAGAGAAAAGTATATATATGTATTTTGTATGCTAAAAAATATTCTCTTAGCACTATACATCTATTATTGATTAATTTTCTTTGTACGTATATTTTGATGACAGTCCGACTACAGGAAACTTAAATTATGATATAAACATGATGGAAGATGCTTTGCGATATCTACAATTTTCTATGGCAGCATATGTATGTTCTTTATAATTCTGTTTTATAAATTATATATGATTTATTGTTCTTATTATCTTAAATTATAGGGTTCTTTCTTGTTTAATTGGTTCGGATATGGCCCACCAAGTATGTAATCTTATTATATATAAATGTATTATCTTACCATCATGTTTAATACAATTTTATATAGATGCTTTTGGAATAATTTCTGATAAAAAGATAGTCCGAAATTTTTTCAACCTTGATAAAAGTGATATTATCTGTTGGGAATATGGCCAAAAAGCGGTTTCTGTACCTAATTATATGGTGATTAGAGATCCAAAAACAAATTCTATTTTTATATGTATTCGAGGATCCTTGGTAAGATTATATAACTCTTCTTTTTTAACATTTGCATTTATTAACTTGCAAAGTTTTACAGAATATTTCGGACCTAATTACTGACGCTCTTGCACATTTTGAACCTTGGAATGGGGATTTTGTTCATCGCGGAGCATTTCGTAGGGCGCAATATCTTATAGACCAGTCCTTAGAAAAAATTAAGGATGCTGTAGCAAAATATAAAATAAAATCTATAAAAATCATGGGGCATTCATTAGGTGCATCCATATCATCTCTTACAACATTGCTTTTACGAGAGCGTTGTAAAGATCTGCTGGACAGTGGAGTTGACATTCGTGCATGGAATTTTGCAACTTTTCCATGTTGTTCTATTGATATGGCATCAAAAGCTGATACAATGAAATGCATTATTAATTTTGTTAACGAAAATGATGTTATTTCAAGATTGAGTTACGGAAATTTAATGGATTTTAAAGAATTGGTTAAATTTGCTGCTAGTGAATTAAAAAATAATGAATATAAAGAGGTATGTCATTGTAATTAACAAATATTTTACCACCATATTTACATATTTATTTTTTTACAAAAATTATGCCAGTTGAAGTCAAAACAAAAACTCTTTAAAATATTCACTTCCATTGATACATATCGTGAAACTTTAAAATCAAATTCACGTTCACAAAAACTATATATACCTGGAACAATATATTATTTATACAAAAGACCTGATAACTTTCAAATGGAATCATATTTTCCATCTTATGCTAAGGATGCAGTATGTGAAGAATCCAAACCTGATTTATTTACGGATATTTCTTTGCGTAAGAATTGGTTGTTCCATCATTTTCCTGATAGATATGATAAAAAATTTAAAGGAGTTATAAAGTTCTTGACAAAAGAAATGAATAAGCATGTGCCAGAAAATGTATGTTAAACTATAAAGTTATTCATTTATTATAGGATTCCAAAATAGCACCTTTTGAATTTTCTAATTTTTTTTTTTTTTTTTTTTTTTTAGAGACTTGAATTAACATTTTGTTAGTTTCAATAACTTTTTATTTTTTTCATGATAACTATGTTGCCTTAGTCTAAAAGTTACAAACAACTTTCTATATTGGTTCGGAAGAATGAAAAGTTTATTACACAACGTTTACTTAAAAGCCATCTCATTTTCTATACCTAAATTTAAAATTTAAAGTGTGTTAACTATGTAACAATATGAATTTTTTTTGAGAATAAAAATGGATTTATCCGATATACTGTATAAAGTGATGAAATAACTCCAACGCCGGGTATATGGTGAATTTGCTATTGTGGATTAGCAAATTTAATAATATATTTTGGTTTTTATACGGGTCAAAGTACTTTTTATTCTTGCAGTTTCTCGAAACCTATCAAATAAACCCACTCTGAAAAGAAAGCGATTAAAAAGTCTTCGAATAACATATAAAATTAATCCTAACAATCTCTATCTAAAAGTTTTACTAGTATTAAGTTCTATAATAAATGAATAGCAATTCAGTTTACAATTCGATCATAGTGAAGATCTGCAAGAAAGTTCTATTCTTGAAATGGAAAAAAATGATTGAAATTGTGTTAAATAAAGTAGAAGACAATAGAATTGTAGTTTCATTTATAACAAATCATTATAAATAGAATGAGTACTTATATTAAACATGTAACTGAATAAGTAAAAGAATAAAATATATATATATATATCAATTTTTTATTTTTTTTCCTTTAAGAGTCACACTAGTACTTTATTAAATTCTTGAAACTACTTTGTAATTATATAGAGATATTTAACAACTAAGTTTAGCATTACCTAGACATCCTAATGGCACTTAAATGCAACCTGTTATATTACTTCAAACAGAAGTAGGCTGCTTGTTTAATTACTTGAAGTTTATAATAAAAAGGTCTTTTCTCTTTTATAACAAGCTTCAACATTATCTTTCTAGATTTTTTTTAATTTATTTTTTTTTGCTTGTTTTTTTTTGTTTTTTGCTAATTCATCTTTTTTTTTTGCTTAAGTTCTTTTCATTTTGTTTTTCTTTTTTATTTTACCTGTTATTTCTTTTTTTTTCATTTATTGATTATATTTTTAAACTTGTTTGTAGAAAATGTTTTAAGTTGTTCTTGTTATTATATTTACAAACTATTATTTTAACTTTGTATTTAAAACTTGTGTTATTTAATCTTATCTTTTCTTTAGAATTAGGTCTTTGATTAGTGTTTCTTTTATTTTTATTTTTTTTAATTTTTATTTTTTTAAAGATTGTTATATATAACATATATAAAAAATTTTAGTTTTTTTTTGTTTTTTGCATATTATTGCAATAGTTATTTTTTGAATTATTTTCTAAAGATTTGTTTATTTTTAATATACTATCAAATATACTTGTGTTTTTTAATTTTGTCTTAACATATTTGACATTTTAATATTATATATATATAATTTTTTTTGGTAATTTTTTTTTTTTAATGTTAAGATGAGTACATGCAATCTAGAATTTTATTAATAATATATATTGGTTAGTATTTGTTAATGTAACAGACACAAAGGCAATTATAGAAAGAGTATACAACTAGTCACTCATACAACTTTAGTCATTGTCTAATTTAAGCAGTCTGCTTGAAGGTTCTATACTAGTTGCTATACCTAAAACTTATCTGTAGATCTTCTATTTAAATACACTGATTTTATATCTACTATGTCCTACTAATGATTTTGATAAACTAATAAAAATATGCTATGGTCACTAAGTTATATTTAACTTTGTACCAAACCTATTAGAGCTTTCTGTATTTTATATTTATAGCTGATCTAGTATTGCTTTGGCCTAAACTATTACTTGCAATTAAAGTAAACCATTAAACTGCTATACTCTTGTAAGATTTACCCAAACCCTGATATCTATCTTTCTGACATCTTCATAATCATCACTTACTAATCACAACTAAGAATTAATAGAACTCTTCAGACTTTTAATTCAGATAGTCTGATATAGTATACTTTAGTATCCTTTTCTTTTGATGATTTTAGTAGCTTGGTTGGTCATATGCTCCTCTATATATTTTATTATTTTGTTTATCTACTTATTCTTACTGAAGTTGTTTCATAGGTTTCCATTAGTCTGATAGTACCATTAAAAGTTTGTATTACCTTTTTAATCAAAATTTCTAAATGGGTTTCTGACTTCATGATACTTTTACTTTTTGCATCTGATGGTTTTATCATAGTTTGCACTGAAGTCTTATGCAATACTGGTTAAGCATTTCTTTATATATATGTAATATTATATTTCATATAGATATCCTAAGCTTTCATTTAAGATAGTATAACTGAAGGTTACAAATTTGCCCAATCCAACTGATTGACAGAAATTTGTTATTTATAAGATTTGAACTCTAAACCTGCCACTTGAAGATTGACAACCTGGCCACTTCACTAGGTTACTACACTCTTTCTGTTAATTTTTTCTAAGATTAAAAATTTATTTATTATATATTTTATAAATATACTTCTTTTTGTATTATTTTTTAGATTATATAGTATTTTTTTTAATTGTTTTTAGTTTTTTTTAAAAGTATATTTAATTATAAATTATAAGTTTTGTTTTTAGTTTTAAATTTTTAATTGATCTTGTTTTTTCTCTTTATTTCTAATCTAGTATTTGCTATTAATTTATATAAAAGTTTTTTAGTATATCTGTTTATCTATTTTTTTTTTGAATATCTTTATTATAATTACAACTAAAAATGCAAATGATGCTCTTTTATTAGGATATTATAAATAACTTAGTTACTTTTTAGATATTTATATATTAGTTTAAAAGATTTGGATTTAGTACTAAAAGATTTGTTTTTTTAAATTTATATTTTTTTAATATAATTTTTAACAAGAGAGTTTAAGGAGTTAAGAGATATATCTGAATTTCTTTATTTATAAAAGTGTATTAACACCATATCTTATAGATTGTAATAATGTGTAACTAGGTTAAGGCTATTAGGGCTTAAGAACAGATATTATAGCTATTTTTTTATTAATATTAAAAAAACTATATGTTTTTTTTTAAGATTATTATACTTCAAAAACATTCTAAAGTAAAGTGTTCTATAGTTTGTAATTTATCTGAACACCAGATACAGTTCTCTGTTTCTAATAATTTAATGTATTTTAATTAATAGCTTAATAGAAGTGCTTTATAGAAAAGATGTTAAAAAAATTTTTTTTTTGTTACAAACAGACTTTAAAAAGAGTCAGGTATGTTGTAATACCTACAAAGAAGTTTGTAATATAGTCAATAAAAGAAAAATTTCTTTTAAAAGTTCTAAAATTTTTTTAATTAAGTGTTTATTTTTTTTAATTTATTTAATTCTAAGTTTATTGCAATTCTAAAATTAGTTAAAAGTGAAGAAAATCTTGTTTTTAATTCTTATCTAGATTTTTAAATAAGGTTTCTATTCTAAAAGTTAGGTTTTTGTACTTGTATCATCAGAATTTAGTGTTTAAATAGGAAAAATGTTCTTTTTATTGCTAAGTATTAAATGTATTTTACTTCTTTCATATATTTTTTACATAGAGTTGAATATAAGAAGTTTTATTCAAACTGTAGTTAAGCAAGCATCTAATATGTTTTTAATAATTGAATCTTAAAGACCTGCTAATTTTGTTAATTGCTGAAAGGTAAAATATCTAAGAAGTATTCATGATACTCTTAATTCAAAAGTTATAATTTTGGTTATTTTTGCTACTTGCTTTTTGTTTAAAAACAGCAAATAGACTAAATACCAAACTTTAGATAAAATAAATAACTTTATGATTAAGATTTTCTCTTTAAAGAAGAGATTTTTGTTTAAAAGTTTGTTAAGAGATCTTTTTAGCTTGTTAATAATAGTGACTCAGAGATCTTTTTTTAATTAACTATTAGTAAGAATATTATAGTCCAAAATAATAATAGTTTCTTGTTCTTCTAATTTAACAAATTGGTTTTTATTAATAAATTTTATTTATCAAGTTATAGCTATAAGGAGAACTAATTTGATTTTAGTTTTGTTAATTTTTGGATTCAAAGTTGTCTCATATAGGCTTAGTACTGCAAGAGACCTAATTTCTATTATTAAATTAGCTGCATAAGCAGAAGTCTTAAAGAATTGATTTCTTAGTTTTATATCCTGTAATTGTCTTTCTAAGTTTTTTATAAAAGGCTTAAAGGCTAGTATATAAGAAGTAAAGAAAGATGATCTTTTTGTTTAATACTTTTTTTTTATTCTAAATGGTTTAGAAATAACACTAGCATCAATATTGTAAGTCTTTTAGTTGAAAAAAAGATTATATATTAGGCTTATAAATTTGTGATTGAAGTTCATATTTTTTAAAATAAGTTCTAAAAAATCTTGACTAATATATCAAATGCTTTTTGTTAGTCAATAAGAAGTAACCAATATTGTTTAAAAAAGTCTAATTAGTTTTTTATATTAATAATAATATTAAGAACTACATCAGTGATAGCCTGTTTTTAATAAATCCATGTTGTTAGTAAGATACTATTTTTTATATATAAGGTTAAAATAATTGGCTAAAATTTTTATAAAAATTTTAGTATTACTATTTACTAATAATATTGATCTTTAATTATTTATATCTTTGAGGTTTTTTGTTTTTTTGAATATTAGTGAAATTAAACTTTTATATTAAAAAGTTGGCATAACTCCTAAATTAAGAACATAATTAAAAATACTATAAAGAACTGGTGTTATTATTTTTTTAGTAAGTTTATAAAACTCATATATTAGTATATCTGTAATAGGAGTCTTATTATTTAGAAGATTTTTAATAATATTACTGATCTTTTTTTGTATAATTTTTTGTATAAGAATTAAATTATATGCAGAGAAAACTTGTGTCAAGTTTTAGATAAT